GGGGCCCGGACGCCCCCCGCCGGCCGCCTCACCCGCCCTCTCCCCAGGGGTCGGAGGCATCGAGACCGAAGCCGTCATGCTGGGCCTGCCGGTGTCCCTCACGCTGCCGGAGGTGGTGGGCTGTGAGCTCACGGGGCTGCCCAGCCCCTTCGTCACGTCCATAGACGTCGTGCTCGGCATCACCAAGGTAGGTCCGGGCCACCCCGTGCGGCCACCGGCCTTCCCTGGGCGTGGGGGCGGGAGCGGAGGGTCCCCGGCCCGGGTGGGGCGTGGGGCGCGCCTAGACGGGCCGTCGCCCAGCCGCCCGCTGTCCAGAGCCTGTTGTCCGGCCGAGAGAGGCGTCTTCAGCCCGGGCAGCGCTTGCCCTCTGGACGCTGCAGTTGCCCCGGCCAAGCCCACGGACTGGGCCGGCGGGTGGCGGGCGGACGTCTCTGCAGCCTCCCAGGCCGCCGGCCGCTCCAGCTGGACAGCCGATTCTCATTACGCAGTGACCGCTCCGCTCCATGCGGAGAGCTGCCTGCGCCCCTGGGGGCCTGACCCCGCGTCTTGGCGCTTGGTCCCGCCCACGGGGCCTGGGCTGGCGGCTTCGGTGAGGGCCGCAGGGCTCCTCCGAAGGGGGAGCCCCCTCTCCCGCCCGACAGCCCCGTGCCCCTGCGGCGCTTGGAGGTGAATGCCACTGTCAGGGCCCGCTGCACCCCTGGGCTCCGCTCCCCGTTGCCGGCCTCCTGACTGGTCCTGCCTGCCCCTGCCCCGGGCACCGGTCAGTCCTGGGCCTGGGGGAGCTGTGCGAGGGTAAAGGCGGCACTTGGCAGATCTCAGAGGTGTGGCTTCGCCCCCAAACAGCAGGGAGGCACCCTGGGCGGCGTCCTTGGGTACCAACCTGAGAGCCTCTTGCAGGCTGGGAGGGGAGCTGGGAGTCGGGGCCCCCCCCCGCCTGGTAACAAGACCCAACACGGGTGGGTCCTGCCCACGGTGGGACGTTCCAGAGACCTGGCGCCGGAGTGGCGCCGCGGGGCACGTGCGTTCTTTCCGGGAAGGCCGGCGCCGCTGCGGCCTGTCACCGAATCTGGGGTCTGCGCGCGGCTGACTTCTGTCCCCCGGGAGGCGGGGTCGCGCGGCGCAGGTCCCGCGAGCCGCGGCTGACGGCGCCCGCCCCCCTGTGCCCGCACGCAGCACCTCAGGCAGGCCGGCGTGGCCGGGAAGTTCGTCGAGTTCTTCGGCAGTGGCGTTTCGCAGCTGTCCGTGGTGGACCGGACGACGATCGCCAACATGTGTCCAGAATACGGTGCTACCCTCAGCTTCTTCCCCGTGGACGACGTGACCCTCAGGCACCTCGAGCACACAGGTGCGTAGACTGGCGCCGGGCGGACGGCACCCGCGTCCCGCCGCCCTGTCCCTGGCCTGGGCCAGGCCGCAGTCAGGCCTGGGCCCCTCGGGGTGGAGCCCGCTGGGGCTGCGGTCCTCGGC